AGGTGGGGGGGTGGTATGGTTTCATCTTGTTTATGATGGTCATGCCATTTTCTCTCATCTCTTGAAAAACTCAGTCTAGGAAGAAAGATAAAGTGATGAACTGCCAGAGGAGTGGACGTTAAGCTGGTTAAATAGGTAAGGGAACACTGATGTGAAATCAGAAACTTTTCATAATCAATTCATTAAATAGAGTTAAGGCTAAGGGGGAAAAGAAATGATGATTGAATTTGGAAGGCCACATCAAGTGTCAGTAGCCCTTTCAAATTCAGTGTATATTTGGCTGATGATTACCTGCAGGGCATACATGCATTTTCTCACCTCTGCCTTGATGATGAACCATAGGGCAGAATGTACCTGCTATGCCTTGTTTCCTTTCAGAGCTTTCAGAGCAAAGCTGCTTCTGTTCATAGCCTGAAGCTCTGAGCTCTAGCCATAGACATAACTATAGTTTCAATGTACTGCCTGTTACTTTAAAAGAGAAGTTAGATATAGATAACTTTCTTTTGACCCTGAGCAATCTGCTTACACAGAGCAATCCTCCCAGTAAAGAGTGAACTCTACAGTACCTGTGAATAAGTCAGCCACAGACCATGATAGACACACATTAGGAAAATGTCATGGGTAGGAAAGATGCCTGTTTGTAAACCTTAAATTTCCCATACCTTCAAGGATAGAAATGTCATCCTACAAGCTGATATCTTATGGGAATCGCAGGCAGTTTGTGTCAGCAGGTTACAAGATCCCTTGAGTACCACCTCTTACTTTCAGGACTTTCAGTCTTAACTCTGGACAACATCAACATCTGACCAGTTAAAGTGATTTGAGCAATAGGCGCCTGCAAAAGGAATTTCCTGGTCCTAAACCAATTCCATTATGACTTCAAATGTGATTTTGCAGAACTGGATCTTGATCCTAAAAACTGGCACAAAGAAGTAAAAATAAATGGCCAGGCATTTCACAGGATCCTCTTAAAGCAAGCTCCGTCCCAAGAGCACTAGTGACTTGGAGGTCTAATTTGAGTTGCAGACCCCAATGTGACATTGCATTGATCACCACAGCATGAACCAGGGTATTATGGGGCAACTGCAGAGGGGTGGAAATCGCACCCAGAAAGCTGTCGAGCATTGCAGCCAGTGGCACTAGCCAGCTTTGCAGTCTGGGCATCTTTCTCTCTCTGCCTACCTCTGTCTTGTTGAGACACTATCCCAGAGGACTTGGGCATGGAAAAACTCTTTAAGAAATGCACAAGTTAGAGTCTGAGATGCCCCGTCTCTATGCTAAGCCTGCAACCCATCATGTACCCTCTTTCTGAAGCACTTCACCTACATGGGCTCTACAAATATGAAGGATTGATTTCTGTAATGTGCCTCGAGCCTTGGCTGCAAGGCATGAGGAAAGGCAATACAGGAGCTGCAGAACTCTGGGTCTGTGTTGAAGGCATGTGTTCAGGCACAGAGAAAGTGGGCTCTGCATCTTGAGGAACTCCAGTCATTACTGAGTTATATTTTTCCTCATTTTCTACTGTAAATAAATGTAGTAGCTCCTGTAGAGGTGTAGTCATCCCCGCAGTTTGATGCATCTTGCAACTCTGAACCCTGTGTACTGGCCTGTAGTCACTGCATAACTAATGGGTGTTTAAAGGCATAATGAAAACTGGTTGCTCAGTGACTCCAGACGGTGCAATAATATCAAGGCACTCTCTCATTATAATTACAATAGTGCAAAATAAGGAGCACCATTTACCCTGAACTTACTGCTTCTGTTTGTGCAGTTTTGTTTGTGGACTGTGCTTTATAAAATCTGAAGGCAGACTAAAAAGTAGTATTTAGAGATGTTAGAGTACAAATGATCTGAAGTTGACAGGAATACTGTGCCTTATTCCTCACAGTTGTGAGCATTGCCTAACCACCACCCTGTTCCAGCAGCAGTTTAACAGTTTCATTCTGCAACAGATCCATAGTTTCTCGCTGCTAGTTTGCCACCCTTCCAGCTCCACTGCAGATGCTGTGAACACCTGCAGTCTTGCTTTCTCCTTTCTTGGAACTTTCTCCTACAGCTGGTTATTGAACAAGGGCAAAGCTGCTGGGATTGTGTTATGAACAGTCATCCCTGGCCTTCAGTGTCGTGCTATTTGTGTTTGAGAAATATGTTTACAACTGATAGCATCTCTCAACATGCTCATCATCATGGGCATCTGAGCGCATTAATGTGTGTGTTCAAAGGCATAACAGAAACTGGTTGCGCAGTCTTCAAACTACAGATTTTATCAGAATTTAGCAAATGTAGAATTCTAGGAAATAAGAACAGAGTCAAGGGGAAGAAATGCAGATTTTTAAGCAAGAGGAAAGCATTGATCTCACTCGCTTGCACTTCCTGTATTATTTTATTTGGTGCTCAAAGCAATGGATTGTGGAAAGAGCGGGAAATGCTATAGCAAGGTTTGTGTTTAAGTTGGCTGGTCTGGCTATAAATTTGTTCAACTCTTGGAGCAGTCAGTTGCAAAATTAATTCAAACCAGTCTTTGCCTATATTGAGGGGTGGGGAGTTGGAGAGAGAGCATCATTTGTCTTTTGAATGTGGAGGAAGAATGTGTGCCATATTCACAGAGTTCCCTACAAAAGGGAACTAGTCTAGGTACTGGCTGTCTCTTTTTAACTTTGGCAACAATATTGTAAAATGCACTATAGAGAATTGAATTCTGTTGTTGCACTATTTGGCCATAACTAAACTTAGGGGGACATAGTTATGAAACCAATATTTGGGAGAAGTTATGGTTGTTTTAATAATATTAAGACCATTGGAAAATTCTAATTATATTCCACAGTAAAGAAATAGATAGGAATTATTTAGAGAATTAATTTGTCTTTCCAAAAAGCAGTAGATAAAAATCTGTGCAACAAGATAAAGGGAAATTAATAACTGCAAGCTAAAGCACTAAAGACTTGTCATAGACTAAGGCCTGGTTAAATGACAGAAATCTGAATTATAGTAAATGATTGCTCTAAAAGCAGACAGGAACTGAAAGCTGTGAATTCTATTGTTTGGTGCCACTTAATACATCATTCATAAAATGAACTGGTCAAAACTGCTTCATTCAGTAAAAATCTAAAGACCTGAGATGTAGCAAATGGATTTGACCACAATAAGGTCTGAATAAAAGAATGGTGCATTCAATTTTTGGAAGAGATGGGAAGCTGTAGGAAAGTATTGTCTGTTTCTTGTATCAGAAGTGGCCTTGGAGGAGGAGCGGTGAGCCACCAAGCTATTCCTTGTCAGGGATGATGCAGATGTGGATGTAGTTTGCACAAAGGTTACTCAGGTCAGGCTCTTTTCATTTTCAGGCACGTTTTAATTCCTGGGGGATTGCTGTTATTGATGTTGTAATTGTGAGGTTTTTTCATTCCATTGTTTTTAGAAAGGATATTTTAAAAAACACCTGGAAGAAAAGCTACCAGAGTCCACTTTTTTATATGTGCATGCTAACAAGCCCATCCAAGAAGTGGGATGTTCATGTCTGTAGTATTCTCTTTATAAATAATTCAAACATTGTCTGAGAGGCTCTCCTGACCATTAAGCTGCAGGTTAAAGCACATGGTTGCAATATTGACTCCTTTGCTAAACTTGAAGTGTTGTGCAGCCAAGTGTGCAGAGGGGGCAAAGGAGAAAAAAAAGTACTGGAAGAAAGCATGATGTTGTAGCATTTCAGTTGAGACGGATATGAAGAAGACATTTTGGAGCTGAAGTTTCTTCTCCTATTTTTGGATTAAATATAAGCAAAAAATACAAATGCCTAAACTTTTAAACTCTTATGTGCCGTACTGTGTGTCTCACTGCAAAGTGGGTAGCACTTTTTGCTTGCTTCTTGTAACACACTTGTTTCACCTTTCCATGGACAGCACAGGTTCTCAAGAAATGAGTGGAAAATAAAAAGATATCTGACAAGAAGCAGATCTTTCTGCCTTAGAAAGGAGCATTTATTCTTTGTGTGTAGAGGAACTAAATATCTTACAGTCCCAAGCATGTCAGCAAAATCTGTCTAAAATAAAATATCCTGAAAGCACAATCTTTCCTCACACGCACATTTTTCAGCTGTTTAAACTGGTAACATACTGGAGTGGTGCGCAAATTTGTAGGAATGGAAAACAACAGGAGATAAATTTTATATTGCCTGTATGCCTGCAGAAATAAAGACTTTAGCAGAGTGACACCTAAATACTGCAATACACAGATCTTACAGGGACATGAGAGCTACTTAGCCTTGCTCCTGCTGAGGTAAGTGCCAAAAGCTATTATTTTCATAGTCAATTTTCCTGAAGACTTCATGAACATTTTTATACTTGACTCTCTGTGTCTATAGAATGCCATGGTGAATGGTAGTAATTGGATCCTGACTGGTCATAAGAAAAGTCATGTATGCAGCACCCTTTCGTGGGCATTCTTTCTCCGTGAGCACACTGATGAGTGTTATTTTACATGTTTGGATTTTCCTCTCCACTTCATGGGAGACTTTTCTAGCCTAAGAAACAGCTGCTTCATGGGGTTTTTAATGTGGCAGTATGTGGATGAAAAAAAAAAGAAATCCATCATTTAATTTTGAAGAATAAGTATGGTGACAAGGCGTTTAAAGAAGGTGGGTTCACCACTGACTGAAAACACCAAGCTGCAGCTCATGAAGAAGCTGTTGTCACTGCATAACAAGGGGATTGTCTTAATTAACAGAAAAGTAAAAGCAGTCATATGTTGTTCAACAATGCCTTAACTATATCATAACTTTCTAATTAGTTAAATAGAATAAAATATGCTGGAAAAAGTCATGCATCACTTACATGTTAGGAAAGAGAGAAAGGAGGGTTATGGGGGGAGCTCAACGCATATGGCTATGTGCATGCACATGGGCTCTCTGAAGGGAGTAGGCAGCTGCTCTGTGATGTGTATGTAGTGAGCGAAGCGAGAGGGATTGGCACAGTAAAGGTGAGCCAGGAGTTTCAGCTGAAAGAGCTCTGCGGCGAAATAGAAAGATATATCCTTGCTGTATGATTTCTTGAATTCTATCAGCCAACAGACGCAAGAAATCAGGAATCAAGCTGGAGTCGTAGCTGGCTCCTGGCTGTGGAGATGTGCCCAGTGCCTGACTGCCTGACTGGAGCTGTTTAACATCTTTGTCAGCCACATGGACAGTGGGACTGAGTGCACCCTCAGCAGGTTTGCCAATGACACCAAGCTGTGTGGTGTGGTCAACACACTGGAGGGAAGGGATGTGCCATCCAGAGGGACCTGGACAGGTCTGAGAGGTGGGTCCCTGCAAACCTCATGAAGCTCAACAAGGCCAAGTGCAAGACCCTGCACATGGGTCGGGGCATTTCCAAGCACAAATAGAGGCTGAGATATGAGTGGATTGAGAGCAGCCCTACAGAGAAGGACTTGGAGGTATTAGTGTATGGAAAACTGACTATGGGCCAGTAATGTGCACTCACAGCCCAGAAAGCCAACCGTATCCTGGGCTGTATCAAAGGAGTGTGACCAGCAGGTCAGGAGAGATGATTCTCTCCCTATACACCTCTCTCATGAGACCCCCACCTGGAGTACTGTGTTCAGCTCTGGGGCCTCCAGCATAAGGAGGACATGAACCTGTTGGAGTGAGTCCAGAGGAGGCCACAAGGATGATTGGGGGCTGGTGCACCTCCCCTATGAGAACAAACTGAGAGAGTTGTGGTTGTTCAGCCTGGAGAAGAGAAGGCTCTGGGGAGACCTTATAACGGCCTTTGAATACTTAGAGGGGGCCTACAGGAAAAATGGGGAAGGACTCTTTATTAGTGAGTGTAGAGATATAGAATGAGGGGTAACGAATTTAAACTGAAAGAGGGTAGATTGAGATTAGCTATTAGGAAGAAATTCTTTACTTGAGGGCAGTGAGACACTGGAACAGATTGCCCAGGGAGGTGGTAAATGGCCCATCCCTGAAAACATTCAAGGTTAGGGCTCTGAGGAACCTGGTCTAGTAGAAAGTGTCCCTGCCTGTTACAAGGGGTTGGAACTAGATGATCTTTAAAGTCACTTCCAACCCAAACAACTCTGTGATTCTATGATTCATATTACTGTGATTCAACATTCATGGCCAAAGTTGCACCTCTCAGTGAAGCTCTTGTCATGAAAGCATGCTGCAGAACAGTAATATGATTTAGAACCGTTGGTCAGTTAGACTCTGCACTTACAAATCCCAACAGTCACTAAATTTCTTTTGAAGTCTGAATAGGCTATTTGCTTTCATGTTTGACAAGATATAGGGTGATAAAAGTATATTGCCTGTCTTGTCTTAATCATTGAGATGATAGATGGAATTAAGGTAATAATCTATTTTTTCCTTATCAGTTATGTACAGTGAAACATCACAAAAAAAAAAAAGCAAGCTTTTACACATCGGGCACCTCAATACAAGAGAGATATTGAGGTGCTGGAGCGAGTGCAGAGGAGGGCAATGAAGCTGGTGAAGGGCCTGGAGAACAAATCCTATGAGGAGAGATTGAAGGAGCTGGGACTGTTCAGTTTGAGGAAGAGAAGGCTAAGGGGAGACCTCATCACTCTCTACAGCTACCTGAAAGGACATTGTAGAGAGGTTGGTGCTGGTCTGTTCTTGCAGGTGATTAGTGACAGAACAAGGGGGAATGGCTTTGAATTCCAACAGGGGAGATTTAGACTGGACATTAGGAACATTTTTTTCTCAGAAAGAGTGGTCAGACAGTGGAACAGGCTGCCCAGGGAGGTGGTGGAGTCACCATCCCTGGATGTGTTTAAGGGTCATTTGGATGAGATGCTGGGGGATATGGCGTAGGGGAGAACTCTGTAGAGTAGGGCTGACGGTTGGACTCGGTGACCCCAAGGGTCTTTTCCAACCTGAATGATTCTGTGATATATATTCATGTAGGAAAAGAGAAGAACCTATGAGCCAATAGTCCCACATAGAACCAACACAGCATGGAAAAAAGATTTTAAAAATCAATATAGGGACTATCACTATTACTGATCTGGAGCTACAAATATTGAAATATGTATGTAAATGCTATAGATTACTGGTTTGATTCTTTGCAAAGACTAAATATCATTTTGAGAGTATTTTACAGGATAGAGTTAAGTTCAAAGTGTTTTTATATCAATAAAAGTATCTTTCATTTCTTTTCATCCCCTTCCTGGCAGCTTAGTCAAGATAACTTTTCTCCCTGAGGACTAAATTTCACTTGGGAAAGAGTGCTGTTTTCTATGATATTAGCTAACTCATGGTAAGTGGCAGTCAGCTACAGAAGTCTAAATTCGCACAATCTCTTCCATCATAATCTGTTTCACAAGCCAAAATAATGAATGTAACACACACAAAATACTAAGCACATTAAAGCATACAAAGTACTAAGTACTAAAGTGAATTCCCTGATGTCATTAGGAATACTAGAGACTAGACCTAACACATTGTTGACTCTAGATATGGCCACTCTCTGATGCTTTTTGGGAAAGGTGAAGAAGCCAATTAAGAAACCGTTTTCACTTAGATACACAGAAGCAGACACATTCCGTTTCTGTAAAAAACAGTGTACCATTTGAGAGGATTCTGGAAAACAATAAGCAGAGAATCATATTTTTAAAACTATGCATAACTAATGAAACAAAGTGTTCTGGTTAATTCTTTATTTTCAACATCAAATACATTGATAAAAATCTTGCACCAATCAGATAGCCTACTGGATTTTTCATTTAGACTTTTAGGTGCAAAACAAAGGAGAAAAAAAACTCACCAAAACAAAGACATCAGTAATTTTATATGCATCAGTGAAAGAACAGAATACTTCAACAAATGCATCATGGCAGCTAAGCCTATACCAGAGAAAGGACTTTCCATTGACAGACTACATAGTGCACACAAAAGCATTAGTTTTATAGTATATACATTAAGGTGATACATAAAGTGGCTTGTTAATGTGAGTCTCGTGACCAGCAGTCTATCCTTTCATTTTCCAATGGACACTTTCTGAAGAAACATTCTAATTATAGGCACACAGGAGTACAAAGCATACTAATTTGCAAGATGGCAGCATATACATTTTTTTAAAACTTTTTGTTTATTTCTTTCTTTAGGCACATCTGAATGCAAAATATTTTTTTTTTAGATTTATTTTTTTTTTTAACACAGTGCAAAACTGAATACCCTTATGGGCAACAATCACTTTGAAAAGAACTTTCATTCAAAAGACAAAAGGGAATTGTGAGTAAAAGGGTAGGACATTAATAGTAGGGAAATAGTAATTTAAAATTCTCAGATCAATTTGAGATTATGCTATAGCTGCAGGTGACAGCAAAGACTGGTTTGTATTACGATACCATCATTAACATGACCCTTCTTTTACACGTGTTGAATTTCTATCTGTAAAGCTGTATTACAGTTGCAGATGGCATTGAAAATAGCCATCTCTTAATTCAAAGTAAGAAATGCACTTATAAATTCAGCTGAGAACACCTTATATACAAAATCCCATTACCTTTAGGTTGAGTTGCATTCTAATTTTAATGCAGGGCATTATATACACAAAAGAGGCATACTGTGTTCCTACCAAAGCCTGTGATAAAACTAAGGCCCTCTGAGCCAGAATTTTTGCTGATAGTTTGTTTAATTTTAAACATTTGGCACAACTCTTAACAAATCAATAGGCATAAACTGGCATAGATGGAGGCTCCAATACAAGCCCTGGCTTGGATGAAGGGGGTGGTTTGGTTTTGGTTTCTTTTTTTTTTTTTTTTCAATTTAAAGTCCAGTGATATGCTGACAGTCCTTGCAATATCCTTGGGAGCTCAGTTCAGATTATTTCTTTAATCATATTTTTAAATTATTAAACCCCTTAGTGTACAAAAGGAGAAAAAATCATCAAGAGATACCACTGAAACATAATAGTAAATTTACCATAAACACATACCAAGAAACTCTCATTAAATTATTTTACCCCAGTACAAATCCTACTGCCCCAACTGGGAGTTTTACCTGAGACAAAGTCTGCAACGTCGAGACATGGCTCGAACCACTACAAACCAGAGTAGCTTTCACATGTTGTTGGAAACTCAGACATCACTAAATGCTACACATCACCCTATCCCCTCTCCTGCCTCCCTAGCCTTTTGTAATAATTCAGTAACAACCATATTCTCAAGCAAAGTCAGTTCATCTGGTCTATTTCTGTTTGGCTTGTGCTGGTATTACATTGCTTATGTTTCGTGGGGTTTTTTTGTTTTGGTTTTTTTTTAAAAAAAATTCACGTATAAACATTATAAAATAATTCTTTCATTAGCTGTCCAGAGACATTACTATGAATGTTTTGGTAAAAGCATAATTAGCTGCCTTAAATAGTTTTCTTTCAATTCTTTTTTTTTACATGCTATATATTTTTATTTACTATCCAGCACCAGATATTCAGGTAGTACTGGTTTGTCAGCTGCAAGTATATATATATATACACACACACATAAAATAGCATCCTGTGAAATAACAATTACCAAATGTCAGGCACAATTGTTTGCATACATGAGAGCATAATTCAGAATTACATACGAAAAAAGATACCATTTTTGTATCATAGACTTTGTTTAATCAATTGAATAGCTACATTCAGCTGTCTGATATGTGGACAATCACCTTTATAGATAACTATGGGAAGGTTAATATATTCATTAAGGTGCTGCTTCAGTTAAAATCTCATGAACAAGTTAATGACACAGATCCTGAAACTGCCTGAAGGTAAATTAATGTATTACTGGGAATCACTTTTTCTTTCTTGGGTGCCTTTCACTGTTGTCACCACAAACAAGGGAGGACTGGTTAAATCTAAAGGACTTCCTTGCAAGGGCTGAGCCTAGGAAAGCATTCATAATTAAGATTGTGAGCTGACTGATTGTTCCTTATGTTCCAAGACACATTATGATACCCTTCTGTCTGCTGTATACCACTTCAAATCACGCTTATCTAGCTTCACTGGGAAAATCTGTAGTGTAGTGGTGCTTGCCCTATATAAGTATCATCAGAATCTGACCCTCTCTTATGAATTGCTCTCCACTGTTTTTTTCCCTCTAGGCCTAATTTACACTTGAAGCGATGTAATGAACTGTTCTGAGATGTAGGAAGTGAGGCATTCGTTTAAACCTTGAAGCTTATGAGCTTGATCCATGTGTTCTGTCATAGAGAACTCCAAGTTGCACATACAGTATTTAAAAAGCCACTCTAATGCATACTGGGCTACAAGTGAATGATGGTGGTGTAACCACATAAGTGTAACTACAGGGATTCCTGTGCTTCATTCAGATCTTAGCCTGCACTCATTTCAGGACATTCATGATTTTTCTAACACATTTGAAAACCAGCTACTAAACAAAAAAAAAAGCAATGTGCATTTTTCTTTCAAAGCATTTAAGAGCCCTCCAAAAGCCCTTAGGTACCAAATTTGCACACACACATGCACACACACATACTCTCTTACTGAATACACAAAAAGACAAATCCTTCAGCACATTCAGAAAAAAAATGACACTATAATATGCATCAATAAAAGGCCTATTCACTTACAGTGACTGCTTCACATGTGTAGGCTTGCACAGCTTTTGAAGACTCTTCTTAAACATAGGTAGCATCTAGCTTTAGACTTTTAAACTGTGCACTTCCTTGGATATGTACATGGAACTGTTATAGACATCATTATGTACATTCACTAAAGAATCAAATCCTTGACTTGGAGCACAAGCTTGTCCTATGCCTTGCTACCTTCACAATTGCTATGTAACTTGATCTCACTGCACAGAGATTCTGCTTGTGTAACAGGGAGCATAATTAGACATAGGCATGCCTGTATGGCATTAGTTGCACTAGTTCCTATATTTAGTTACTACAGGATATTCCAATCAACATAATCTAACATAAAGGTTTCACTATAACAATAAAAGAAGCATTCCTGAACCCTTCTCTAGCACCGTGGCCAGCTGCTGTGGAGCAGCCTGCTCATGTGCTATGAAACGTCCTTACTGGCAGGGTGGTCACTTCCAACCAGCTATTGGAATAGTCCCTGGTCCATGGTAACTCCCAAACCGTGCCTGGAAACCAGAAGTGCAGATAGGACAGGCAAAGTTTATCATGAGACTAATAAAATATCCCTAGCTATGTAATAATTGCATTCCAGTACCCAGCAACGCTTCCTGACACATTTAAATTTATAGCATAGATGCAGCCAAAGAGCAGCATTGACTCCTACTTTGAATAGCACATCGTATGGATTTCTTCAGTCTCTCTCCTTCATGTCTTGCTGCAACTCTTGCTTGCAGCAAGATTGTGACTAACCCTTATGAAAAACAGTTACACACATGGAGAAATCCAGATTTATCTTCCTGTACATGTAATCCCAGAGTCTTCACCATGTCTGAGGCTCATTGCCCAGTTCTGGTGTCACAGGTGAGCTGGCTCTTAACAGTGATTTTTGAGCATGACCCAACAAGAGCCAAAGCAAGCCAAGGCAATGCAAAGCCTACTGCTCTGGCTGTGATGCCAGCCCTCCCAGACAGCTAGGCCACACTCTACTGAATGGGATGGGACCATCCCACCCTGCTCTGCCAGTCTTTCACTAGCATCCTCACCCCTTGGTTGGTAGCACAACAAAGCAAACCATGGGGGAGGATTTTTTTTAATAAAATAGTGATGGATAATGTATGTATGTGAAGATTCTTATTTTATTTTAAGACCTGATGGGTTTTGTAATCATCTGGTCTGATTTAAGAGTAATTATCTATGTTATCACTGTTTGTCATGTTGCCCTTGATTTACACACTGCCAAGCAACAGAATAATTTAGCTTTGTAGGATCAGACAAGATAGGATGACTCAATGCAATTCAGCTAGAGGATATGGTAAGGGGATCTAAAAGTTTAGTCAGTATGACCTTGATAGGGATGTAAGCCAGCAAGGTAAAACAGTATTATTCTCAGACAGGGATTCTTTTCTACGGTAGGAAGAGAGGTGGGAATCTACCTAAACTAACAAGTAGTCACTAGCAGTGCAGTTTCATTAGGGCACACAAAGTTGCCAATCAGCTTTCCATTTGCCCCTCAAAAAAAGTCATCCAGAATCTCTACCGAACCGCTTCAAAGTTTCAAACAAGGATTAAGCAAGCTCGGAATTTGGGGTGGTATCAACAAAGGCTACCACTCATGAAGATACCAGTACACATGGGTGGTATGGCCTATTAATTTATAGTAAAATGAATATTTGGTTTAGATTGGGACTTACTCAACATACATGCAAAATTAAATAAAAACCCTGCAAATTTTAAATCAAGTCAGCCTGACAATCCTTGCTGGCTGTCCATAGCAATGAAATGCCTTCCATGTAGGATAAGCAATCAATTTAGGCAAGTGCTTGACAAACACTCAAATGGAAAATGCAGGTGACTGTTGTCACTGGAGTGTTTACTTAGGTGGGACTATAGATGAAAGAAAGCGTGAACTAGGTAGTACGCTGCTGGGTTTCTCATACCATTGTATCTGCTGACTTTTCTTTATATGGTATTCTGCATATTGTCCTCTTCTTTGCTGTTTATATAAAAAGGCTGCAAGGAATGAGATGAAGCTGATGCACTTGTCAGCTGGCTCCGGTTCTCCTCTTCCATCGGTGCAGCACTCCTGGCTGCTGGGGCATGCAGTCGGTGAGCGTCCAGCATCTCCAGCAAGAGATCATAGAGTGGGACCACGTTTTTACACTTCATATTGTACAGGTGCTCCATTCCTTTGTTGCTGTGGTTGTAACAAAACAATGGTTACTTTCCAAATATGCTATGGGGGAAAAAAAAAAGCTATCAGCTAATAATATTTCTTAGGTTCATATAAACTCTACCTTGTACAAAAAAACTTAATGGTGTAGTTGCTGTACGCCCCTGCTACAGTTAGAAGGCGGCACCCTCAAAAACCACTTCAGACTGCCAATGAGCAAGCTGCTTTCTAAAGGTGGCTCTTTTGCTCTCCTTTGCCTAAAAGGTAGCCTACAGCACATAGACTTCGGATTTACACACTGTGACTAAGTGGATGGGATGAACCTTGGTTTGCCCATAATAAAACCTAAAATGTCGGAGGTTTTTTTTTCTAGAAGATTACCTCAGCCATTTTGTTAGCAAATGCTCACTCTTATCCAGTCACAAAATTATGGAAACAATAACTAACTTCACTGTGCATCTGGGACTTCCTTAATTGTACAATTCTCCTTAGGGAAAAAAAAATATATATATAAATAAATAAGGGATGATTAACATGAAGACAAAGAAACTCCACAAAAAGACACAAGTAAAAAAAAACACATGCACACACCCCTTGACTTTTTTCTGAAGACCTGTATCAGTCCAGGAGGTAAAATCCGCATGTTTCAGCTTTAGTAGCTATGTGGCGCTTGCTCAAATTTTCATTTTATTAACCAAAATAATGAAAATTCAAATCTGTGAAACAACATCTCTTGTCCCTTCATAAAAATAAGATCTATACTGTATCTTTTTATAGACTCGTCACGTTGTTAACACTCCAGCCACTGAGCAGCTACTTTAAAAGGTAATTATGTCTGGGAAAATCATTGCTGGGACTACTAACAGAGTGCCTCAGACACCTCACCTCTAATTCACAAAGGGCATGGTCCTCTCAATTGGGATTCAATACATCTGCATTTATCCTCACCCATAAAATACACATAATGATCCTAATCCTTTTTCTAAAGTGACTTGCAATCAAGCCACTTGTGAAAAGTAGCTACAAAAAAGTGGTAGTTTATGATCTTTTAGGAGACTAAAGTTTGCAGAATTAGGTTACTGCTACATTAGCATTCTACTTGATAGTTTTCAAACAGAATACAAGAGGCACATAACATTAAAAGTAGATACTGCTTACAGCACTACCAAAACATGAAGCAAAGGAAAAGAGAACTAGAAAAAACAAATGGGGAAAACATTTACTCCTTTCGCACCTTAATCCAATGTACTATTTTGCACACGTGTTCCATATATCTTTATGGAAAGCAGACGTGGGGTTTTTTTTTTGTTTGTTTGTTTTTTTTTGTTTTTTTTTTTGTAGCAGCTCTACATATAGTTTGCCCTCCCACCAGTGAAGGAAAAATGTGCATGTGCATTGTGAAACCTCCCTTCCATGGACCAGCACAGAAGGGCTGACTGTATGCTTGCTCTCACCTCATGTGTCTGATGTGAGAGAGGATGAGGAGGAGCTGAGCCAGTCGTCTGTGTTGCTGCTGCAGAGAAAGACCTGACTTAGCCATTAAGTGTATCAGAGTGTCTGTGATTTTGTCCAGAATACGGTGAATATAGTCTCTCTCTTCCAGAGATTTCAAGGTGCTGGAAAGAAAAGTGTACACACCTGGAGTAGGAAGGAGAAAGAAAACAAACAAACGGCAGACAAAAATTACTTTGCTAGAGTCAGACTTGCCAAAGGTAAACCTTGTGTCTTGCCTCTTCAGCTGTGTTGAACCATGGGAGCTGATTGTGTGTGAACCTTCTTGCTTGCCAGCCAGGTCACTGCTTTGAATGTCCCTGGAGCTTGGATTTGATCACTGTAGGCAAAGCAGCAGGAGGAAGACAATGCATCTTCCCCAGCTGGGTCCATCCAAGTTCTGAGCCAGGTGGTGGGCAACACCTGCAGCCTGCAGCTAGACCTACCTGCAGGCTGTACTCTTCTCTCAATCACTTGGCTTCAAAACCACGAGATGCCTTGAGAGTTCTGCAATACTTACTGACCAGCCCAGGCCTTCAGTGGTTTTTGCTATTTTGTCTTCTGCATAATGTTTGATTTTTGGTGATTTGCTAGTCAATCTAAAACTGAATAATATGCTATCACAAAACATGTAAACATAATCTGTGTTTGCTTACACACACTTGCCTCAACAAAACCCTCCCAACCAAGCAAGAGCCTTGAAGGATGTGTTCCCTCACCTGCAAACCCAACTCTCCTTTAAAAACTAGAACCAAAGCAACCTTTATAAATTTAGCCATATGACATTGCTTACTGATGAAAGTCATCAGCCTGAAGTTTTCAATCAGAAGGAAATTTTTCCAGAAATCACAACACCTTCACACTCCCCCTCCAACAGCCCCTCTACATCTCCTATAAAGCACTGTAACCCAGGCATAAGAGCTTTTGCCAGTAGTAATTCTGGAGTACATGAAGCACATTAGCTTTCTAAATGGGAAATTCTGAACTATTTTGCACTTTTTTATCTTGAATTTGCTCTGGACAACAACACACAGTCAATGTGAATCAGGTCACAACAACTGAGTGCTTCCACAAGGCACCTGTTTCATTCAGCACCAATTTTTAAAATCTGGATTAAGCTATTAACTCTAAACAGGTCAGATTACTATAACCCAGTCCTGAGGCAGCAAAACCTTAAGTTGTATGGATGGTACTACAGTCAAACTGGCTTGATCACGGTGTATTCATTGCCTGTGTCTATAATGTACTTGACAAATCCTGTGCTTTAGTCCTTCTGCATCAGCTCACAGAGCCAAGAAGAAATGTGGATTTTGTCCTTGGAAAAAATTGGTTTCTGGAATTACTTTTCATTTTGCTTTTCTTTAAAGCATTATTTATAGCACAATGCAGTTAGTGATATTAAGAAAAAGACACACACACGCATAATGTGTATGTACACATACACAGACATATATACTATAGGTTGTTTGTACTGTTTTAGCCTGGGGATGGAGAACCATCAGATTTGAAGATAAGAATATTTTGCCATGCATCTGAACAGTCAGGGAAATTGAGATTTTTGTACCATCTTCTTGGCATACCTCACCTCCTCTGCATCATTTTAGTACTTCAGGGACCTGACACTGGAACTATTGTAACCAGCAAGTAGGTTACAGAAGGCTTTGGGTCTTCTGTACAAAGAAGAAATATAAATTTGTGGTTTGAATGTCAGTGTGAGTGTCTGTGAGAGAGTGAGTGAGTGAGAGAGACTGCTTTAAAAAGGATAACTCAAAAGGATAACTCAAACACAGCACAATTTCTGAAAAGCATCAGTCAGAGCTCTTAATTTTGGTAATGAATATGGTTTCAAATTGGATATCGATGGATAGTACAACAGCCTCTTTTCTCACAGAGCTTTTAATGATTATTATTATTTTTAATGAAATGAATTCACCAATGAGAAACAGCTCCTGGGGCTTTTCTCAGCTGAATGACTCTTAACCATCCTCACATATACCTACTGACAATATCAGGCTTTACAGCTTAGCAGGTAGCTGTAGGGGCAATATTGTTAAATATTACTGACAAAACAGAGTCCATTAGAAGGAAACATTAGTCTCATAAACCCACAGTGCCTCCAGAGCAGCTTATTTCAGCCAGAGGATGCTACTGAGCCCTTGTAGCAATACCCCTTAGTTTCATACCTTTGAAACCAGCAAAATTTTAAAAAAGCCCTCTATTAGGAAGAATTGTTTTTCACCTAGGTCTAGTCCAGAGCTATTAAAAAGTATAAATCAAAAAAACCCACTCCCCCCAAAATGTATAGACTTCAGGCAATTGCCAGTCGATAACTGCCAAGAAAAATGACATTTGGTTTTCCTTTCTGCCCCCTAGTGATTGCTCCTGTCCCAGGCCAATGACCAGAAATTTCCCCAAAAGAAATTCCAGCTATCCATCAAACACATAGACACACAAGCAGAGTTTTGGAACAAGAGTGCAGAAAATTGTCTTAGCAAAGTGAAATTTAACTGTCTCAAAGGTCTTTCCAACCTCTGAAGCTGAAAGCAAGCCTAAATTGAATAACTACCAGGTTTTTTCCAGATCTCTCTGCAGGTCAGTATTGTAAAACATAACAAGAGCAAGAATGAGAAAGCACCACCCTGTAAACAAGTAAAGCCTTTTGGTCCATGCTGATAGCACAAAGCTATGCACAGAACAGGGTCCTCGGGGACTGCAGCGCTACCATGCCAACTGCTGGAATATGGTGATATCATTTTATATGTGTCACTGTATCTAGTGTTATATTTTTGCATATTATGGTAGAGGAGAACACCCTCTACATCTTTTCTGTCACAATAAACCGCAGTTTAAATTATCTTTACATTTAGAGTTCAGGCTCACAAAACCTTATCCAAGGTTCTTCTTTCCCTTCCACCATGCCTCATTGCTCTGGATCTGTAGCAAGCCAAGCTGAGCTATGAGCAAATTCAGCTCTATACCATGCACGCATGCAATCATCCAGTCCCCAAAATAAAGAAATAAATAAAAAGCACAATTTAACAGGAGCTGGAAAAATCAGGAGAAAAAGAATAACAAACAGTCACATGGAACAATGTATCAAGAGGATGCATAAAATCGGGTAAATCTTTCCATCTCTATGGATTAACCATCTACCTAGTCAGCTACTAAAGCAGATGCGCCTACACCTTCATCTCCAAAATGAAAGCCTGTTGCTTTGCCACTCTTCTTTTCAGATACACTCAAAAGTAAAACACCTGGCATCATGTTGCTTTTTTGTGCTTCTAATACTTATTTTCCAGTGTTAAGAAACAGTCCTTTATTACTGAGCTGAAGGTGTTTTTCAAAAATACAATTTTGCTTTTTAGTCAAAAGATTTATTGCTGAAGCTTTAGAGGGGCATCTTCCAGTTTGTTGTTTAGCCAGAGACAATGCTGCCCTCGCTGTTACAGACATGCTGTCGCCTTGATATCTCAGGGAAAATTTGGAAGTAGCGTAAAAGTATATTTTGCTTTATAAACACAACCTTCCATCTTTTCCACACACACTGAGTGAACCTAAAAAAATTTGCTTGCATTTTGCCCAAGATGGAAAAGGAGTGTAAAGATATTAAAGAGCCTTGAAAGATGTTGCAAAAGACAGAGAAAATAAATTTCCAACAAAAGTAATAAACAGCACTACCACATGTGAAGAGACTAACAGATGTCCAAGGATTTAATAAAGAAATGTTTGTGTACACTCAGTGAATTAAATCAACACAAAGCTTCAGAATGCAAATGCAGGCTGCTTTTAAATATGAAATGTAGCATAGTTAGCAATTAGTCCACTTGTTTAAATCATTTTGAGATGAGCTAGTTTAATCATATGCATATATAATAGAGATAGCATAAGGACCAAAAATTCATTGTGGGTTTATCTGCTGTTTCTTTAGTAGAAGATTTGTGTATGTGCAATCATTGAAAAAAATTCAGGTTAAAGGAGGCTTAGAGGACATCTAGCTCAACCTCCTGCTCAAGTAACAGTAACTTCAGGGTTAGGTCAAGCTGTCCAGAGCTTTGTCCAGCTGAGTTTTGAGTATCTCTGAGGATGGAGATTCTGCCTTCTTTCTGGCCAAACCGTTTCAGTGGGAAAATGTTGGGTTCTGTTCATCTCATCAACATCTTCCTTGTTGTGGTTTGTCTTCTGCTGCAGCTTTCCCCTTGCACCTCTGAGAAGAGTCTAGCCCTGGCTTCTCAATAATCTGTTCATCAGCTATCTGAAGACTGCAGTTAGACCCTCCCTTAGCCTTCCCTTTTCCAGGATGAACAAATAAATCCAGCTCTCACAGCGTCTCCTCATACATCATGTACATTGTGTGCTTCAGAGCTCATAATATTTCACGTGTCCAACAACTTACCTAAAGGAGGCTGGCTGTGAAGAAAAGCATCTACAGAAGACATTTTAGGGTACCTATGCCAAACAACACTTATACAGCTATTACACATACTCCAAATTATGCTACTTAGTTATCTCTGTAATGCAGTCTAGATTCCTAATTTGGTCATCTAGAGGATCTAACAGTTGGAAACTTGTGTCCACGTTCCCACCACCTAGTAGTTAACTCCTCAGTTATAAAATCAGTTGTTTATAGGAATGCAAAAACTGAAAAGTAGAATTAACTACCTTTATGCATAAGGCAATTATAAGCAACACACACATACATTCTGTGGCCATATATACATACACATTCAGTTTACAGTGTACTCAGATATACTGCAATAAGTGCATGATGCTCTGTGTAACAATGGTATAAACTGCTTTCATCATGAACCTGTAACAGCCCAACCTGACCCATGCCATTTGATCTATCACCATCAAGTCACGTAAAAATGCCAGACTTCAGAGCAGCTATAAACTTTCATTTAATGTAAAAAAACCCCGCACATGCAAAATCAGATCGCTCACCAGATCATGGTATCAACTCTGACCTTCTACCACATAGAGCACTACTGTTAGAACCTGCTGAATATGAACCCTGAAGGAATGGAGATCTAGTATCTCCTAGCTTCACACAGTGGTCACATCTCTCTTTTGTGCAGAAGGAAATCTGCCTCTGATTACAACTGACTTCACTTACTATACTTTTTTTTTTTTTTTTTTTTTTTACAAAAAATATGATTAACAAAGTGAAATGTACTTATGAAGGATAGCTGGTGATGTCTGGCAGAGCTTTGTCTAAACAATAAATTTAGTTTTCTGGATCAATGGTAAATAAAGTAGTGGGACAAAAACTCAGCAACATGGCTTGAAGTCTTCACATTCAAGACAGGAACATCTAATGTATTTTATTAAAACTTCCAATTTATTTTTTCTAATTTTAATTCAATATTTCTATAAGTCAATTATGTATTCTAGATTTATTTCAGAGGATAATTACATTTGAACATATTAGCTAAAAATCAGGAGGAGCATCACTTTTCAGGAGGAACATTTAATTCTAGAAAATATTCTGTTACAGTTATCAGGACAAAAAAAGGAAAATAAAATGTCAAAAAGTAATTACCATTGTCACACTCTGCTGTCATCCAAGATAAAAACAATAGCCCTTCATTGCTAATATACCAGGTGTTCACCTCAGATGTCGTTTTTTGGTAAATGGTGACAATCACAACAACATCTGAACCACATTAATATCTCACAGAACATAAATGAAATATTTTAGATTTGATTGTATAAATATATAATTTTTTTTTCTTTTTTTTTTTTTTTTTTTTTTCCGCAAAGGAAGAAGTGTCTGATCAATAAAGCAAACTCTGCTGTGGTTAGGGTTAGCCTTTGGTAGAGTTAGCCTGGGAATTACCTGAATTTGTATTTCATGCAACCTGGGCAAGTGATCTGTTAGACCACCAGATAAAAAGCACATACAGCCCTCCACATGTGGTTTGTCTGGAGGCTGATACCATCTATGAGTTCAAACCCAACAGGAAAAGGGGTGAACAAGTGAGTAAATCCTCAGGATTGGGAAATTCTATCATCTTTAGTCATTAGGTAACAACTTAGCAGAGAACTGAGTCTAAACTTTTGACTTTGGTGTCTATGTTATTATTTTAGACCTCTATCTGTGAGAACACTGTAGGCCTCATTTCTGCATTTAAAAATTAGTTGTCTGGAGTTGTTTCTCATTTCAAAAGGTGTGCAACAGATATTTGCCTATTTCAATCATCTCATGCAGAATTCAAGTCAGCTAACCTTATATATCTGTATCTATACCTATAATTGTTACCTAGTCACCTAATTTTGAACTGTATTTCAGACTGAGGTTTACAGTCCAAAAATACTTAGCACCTATAAAGGAAGTGGGAGGTGATGACATCTGTTTTAGGTGCCTGTATTTTAATATAAACTAAACCATGATAAACTCAGCCACTTTTTTGCCATTATTTGCCTTTATTTTGCCATCACCAGAAAATGTGTAGATTTACAACTAAGCATTGCCTTTGGATGCACTTAGCGTGGCTCCAGCTACTTCAGTGTCTTGCAACCAGAGCTTTAAGACCTGCCAGCAGCTAGTTCAAAACACCGCTCTGATCACGCTTCACATCAGCTGTACGCTATGTATCAACTACTTACTGCGTTAATTTGCTGGGTCCCACCTACACCACTGAATAGGTTTGCCTGCTTCCATCCCTGCCTGCATCTGCAGGTGGCTCTGCCCGCATCTATGTTAACAGCCCCCTTTTGATTGCTGCTGTCTCAAAATGAAAACATCATCAGGGACAACAAGCAGCATTCAACCCCATGCAAAAGCAACCATAATTACCCAAGTGACAGCAAAGCACATCACTTACCAGAATTGAGCAGGATGATGGACTTAAGGCACACAAATTCCTCCCCTTGAAGGTTCATCATGCGAAACCGAGCAGCAGTAGCCAGCAGCATGTCAAAGATTTCCACCATGCCCTCTACACATTTCCCTTGATTCCTGTGTGAATACCATCAAGGGGAAGATATTCACAGCTTTAACCTGGTGGCAGCATGAGCTTTTCATCCCCCTGGATCATTCCCCTCCAATTTTATTTCAGCAGTTCACTAGATAGCATGTGACTTCCTACTCTATGCGTAATTGGTGTGTGATTACAGAAGCATAGTTCTCAGTATCCCCCATGAATAAATAATTAAATACTAAATTCCCCCCAAAAACGTCAATTTCATAAACTCATCACCTAGGCATTACTGGGGTGGAACATGCAAGACTGACTCAACCAAACCTTTACATTGAGGAAAAGATTTGTTTAAGACTACATTTTATTTTTTGTGGGTGTTCTGTCTGCCTTACTTTGTCTCCTCTTTCTTTTCTTTTCCTTTAACTGAAATAGTCCCAATTCTTTGCATTTCTCTCTCCCTAATGTTTTGTACATGTTTCTACCTGGCCTTGCAATCTGTAATGCTCCAACACACTTCTCCCATTTTTCTTACATCAACATAATGCCTCCTTAAAGAATAAGCTTATTCATGAGTTCAAGAAGGACTTGTGCGGCCAAAATCTTGTCTGCATGACTGAATCTGATTAAAACTATCACTCCACAAATCAGAGAACTTTTTACTTTGGAGCATTAAACAAAGCTAAAGTTTGGGAAATCTCAAAGTGTTCATTAGTAATGGCAACTAACCACATCCCTCTACTCACAATACTAGGCATTCTCACTCACTAATTTTCATCTTGCACACCCAACCTGCAGTTCAAGAATTAATGCAGATTTTAATTATCTTTTATGAAAATTTAGTCTGCATATTTTCTGGTCATGGAATTTTAGATCATTTGCATTTCTACCTTTTATCAAAAACTATCTACTTTTATTAGAACTTCCAGAGTGAAATTTTAGCATGTAAGACCTAATGAGTGATTAGATCTGCTGTTTAGATACAATTTTTATGAAGAAAATTTGAAGATCATTGCTATAGGAAAATGCAAAAGAAATTTCAAATGATCAGATGGTTATTCCACTATAATTTGTAAAGTGAGCACATGTTGAGCATCTCCTAATCTCGTGACAAAAATAACGTTAGACTACCAGCATAGACACACCTGCCTCAGTCCAGATACAGCCATGCTGTTGAGACTGGGAACATTCTTAGCACTTCTCAGTCATGTCTTAGACCTAAAACTGAGTCAAAGAATGAGAGGGAGTCTCTGTGAGCATCTGTGCACCAATTTCCTTTCAAGTTCAAATCCCTATTCAGCTTAATTTGGTGCTAGAACTTAAATCTGCATCTCCCTTATCCAGGAGCAGTGCCTATGAGCCAGTGACTATGGCATATGACAGAAGCTATTTCATCTGCTTTCAGAGATATTTATACAAAGCAGGACAACATCAGGACAAAGTCAGAGATACTCCCTTAAAACAGCCAGTAAGGTGTTGGTTAAAATACAGTAATATTTGAAAACATGGGGTCCTAAGCAAGTTTTCCAACCACTGTTACAACAGCACACATTCTCTGACTTTTCTGTGAGAAAGAGATGATCCAGTCTTGGGAAAGGAAATAGTAGGAAGTTATCTTTAATGAGGATGACTTGCTCCTTCTTGCCTTGGGTCCCTGTGGACTACCAGGCAGCTGTACGCTGAGCACTCCTGAGAAGTGCCTAGTTCTCCTCACACATTTCACTAGCTCTTAGCTCAGAACTTGATTTTCATTGAATGGCAGGCACCTGGTCACAAGCTGCAACATTTGGCAACGCAACTTTTATGGCCATTTCTGGCTCTTAAAAATTTTGCTGAAGAAACAGTGGTTTAAGCTATGGCAGCTTTTCAGGTACAACCAGCAACATTGATAATTTCACACATTAGATTCCCACAGACAGTGGTAACAAGTGCAGTGTAACAGGTTGTGGACAAAAAAGTCTAAGATTAACAGACAGACAGACTCAATGCTATGTTCTACGTAAAGTGTGTGATGCATTTTGCAGTCTCATTTACAATGCCCTAGCAGATGCGCTGAACTAAAGGCCTGATCTCAGCCTAGTATATGTGAACATGGCTTTACTGAAATTCACAGTTCTGTCTCTTTTGCTTGAAGGCTGAATCTGAACTCAGATGAGGAGTTTTCACTGATTTGATGATGAATCAGTTACACTGTTCAGTGCTGGATGTGGAGAGCTCTTCAGCAATGGCCATTTTGCTGCCCTGATGAATTCTGCCTGGGCAGAATAAAGCTGAAAAACTGAACTGGTTGCAATTACGTATATTCCTCCTCTGTCTGGGCATCAATAAAATAAACAAAGACAAAGTAGTATTTAATAGTATCACCGTCAAATAAAAAACAAACAGAAATCCGGCACTCAAAACCAGGCATGCGAATATGAACAATTACTATTACCTTAAAATCTCTTTTGTGTGCTAATATTTAAATCCTAATCCTATGGAAGTAAAATAATCATGAATTTTTACAGAGGGATAATGTTCCACTGCTTTTGATATAAAATTTTTGCCTATAACGAGAGAAAGTTTAACTTTGCACATATAGAGTTAAGCACAGTTTCAGAGGACTGAAAGCCTTTAATAGCTTTACATAAACATAAATAATGCCCCAATAAAAGTTTGTTTAAGAATTTTTAATTTCAGGATTACACAGAAATGAAAAGTCACAGTGGATCATATGGCAAATGACACATACTAAAAAAACCCACGTCTGTCTAAGACAATTACTTTCTTCCTAAAACCCAACAAACTACTTCCAGCCAGTATTCAGAACAATTCAAAATATTACACAGTCTGAACAAATTGCAAAATTTGCATAGCCAAGACCACAATTCAAAAAGAAATAGTTATTTGTAAAATGAGACCTTTAAAAATGCCTTATGGAGACTCATAAGATGGAAAAAATAATTCCGATGGCAAGTAGGAAGTATTCCTAGGTACTTTTTACAAAAAAATAATTCAATGGACTCTAGTTTACAAGATCTTCCAGTCAAGATCCTCTTGCTGGCAAGTACAACCTTTGGACAAAAACTTCTAGTCCTGCAACACACAGTCCATGTGGCTAAATCTCCATGTGTGTCTGTTTCCCACACCTGAACTCATATGGTAAAGGATAAATAAAAACTGTACATTTAAGAGATTCTAAATATACTTTTTTATCTCATTTGCTTTGCTACCTGCTGTGTGTGAAATACCAGGCTACTCTGTAAGAAAGAGCATCTCTTTAGGTAGAGTTAAGTACTTCAGAAGAAGTTAGATACCTAGCTTTAGGTATTCATGTATGCAAGCAACAATTTAGAAATTTCTGCTTTACTTTCAGTTAGGCAGCAGATCCAGCTCCACTGAAATCGCTTAGTATCTTTGAAATGCAGGCTTCTAATCAAATATTTTTATTATCTAGGCTACAACTCTGATGTTCTTTGTTAACCAACAAAAACGATCTCAAATAGGAATCTCCAGGTCTCCTGAATTGCCTTCTAACTTTCTAACATAAACTGATAATGTTATCACATCTTCACAGCTATATGTCCCATTGATAGGCAGGCCTATCTAGGAAGGCCTAGATAACTTTTCTGGAGGACAAATTAAGCAATAGATTTGAAAATTATCTTTACCCCACCATCATGCTCTTGTCTTTGTGTGCTCTCAGCTTAGTGAAAACAAAACAATAAAATCTTGTTTAGTGCAAAGCATCGGAGTGTATTCTCACAAGAATCCTTAACACTTGGCTATCGGAAAATGTTTGGGAAAGTGAAAGCATGTGAATTAAAGGTCTTTAAGTTACTGCATAAAAGTACTATGTGTATTAACTTTTGTAAGTCTACAGAATCACAGCATCATCCAGGCTGGAAGGCAACTCGGGATGTCTTTAGTCCAATCCCACACTCAAAGCAGGGTCAGCTCACTCAAGGTTTTATCCAAGCCTGGTCTTGAAAACTTCCAAGGATGGAGATTGCACAACTTCTCTCAGCTTAATTATTTTTATCACCATGTTTTTCTTCTCCCCTATATCCAGACAGAACTTCCTCTGCTTCAATTTATGACTCTTGTTTGTCAGTCTCCCATCAGGCATCTTAATAAAGAGCCTTGATAACCTCTTCATAGATTTTAGGTCAGCCATGCTCAAAAGCCATCTCTTCTCGACTGAACAAATCCACTTCTCATCCACAAGGCATGTACTCCCACCTTGGTGGCTCTCCACTAGTTTACTGAAGTTTATTAGCATCTTTCCTGTAATGAGGGGTGCAAAGATGGATGTGGTATTCCTGATGTGGTCTAATGAGTGCCAAATAAAAGTGAAATAATCACTTCCCTTGATCTACTGCCTACAGTACCACTGATAGAGCCCCAGATACCACTGATCTTCATCGCTGACATGTTCCAGTACTGGCACACACACATATTGCTGTTCACCTGCGCCCCAGGTCCTTACCAGTAGAGCTGTTCCCTAGCTAGTCAGGCCCCATCTTAACAGTAGCAGTGGATTAAGTCCATCACATGTGCATGACTTTGCATTTCTCCTGACTGAGTTTCTTGAGGTTTCTGTCAGCCCATTCCTCCAGCCTGTCTAGGTCCATCTGCATGGCAGCTCTGCCCTGGAGCATATCAACTCCACCCCCTTTTTTGGTGTCACCTGCAGATTTGAACAGTGCACTCCACCCTCTCCTCCAGGTCATTGACAAAGACATTTAACCGGAAACATCCTAGGACAGATCCCTGAGGAACTCCAACTGTAACTAGGATCAAGGTAGAGTGTAAACCATTAAGAGACCTAGTCATTTTGTCACAGAAGGCAATCGGGTTGGTCAATCACAAAATATCCTAAATCTGTGCTAATTCACACTCACCATCTTCTTCCTGCTCACATTAACAACTTCCAAGAGATCTTGCTCTATGATATTCCTCGTGATAAAATTGATGCTGACTGCCCAACCTGTAGTTCCCAAACTGTCTTCCTTCTGAGACAGGTGCAACATACACCTTTCTCTAGTAATTAAGGAGCAAT